ACAGCCTTGCTATCCGACATTAAAGAAGGTTTTACATTTAGTGTCGGATTATCGAGTCATGACTGTATTCAGTCACTTAAAAGGTCACAATGTACCTGAACATATTCGTATGATGAATACTGATCTTCGATATGAGGCACACATTTTCACATGTGCATCTCCAACTACCGTCACACTTCAAGACAATTTAAATCCCACATGCATCCTGTAAAAGGTTCAAAACAACTCATCTTTCTGCGGTGGAACAAAATGCCTTCAACATGTTTTCAGTGGCTCCAACTGGAACATAAACAACAAAATTCAGGACACTATAAATGCAAATATGAACACAAGATCACATTTGAATTATTCCAGAAGATAAAGAAGGCGTGAATGTGTGGTAAAGGGGGGAAATATAGTTAGAGTTCACTGTTAGGAGGTTGTGCCAGTAGTGTTAACAATCACCGAATGCTCTTTTGTAGCATCCTGAAAGAGAAGCATTCACTTGTGTTTACAGTCATGTCAATATGTACCCAAACACATCTGTATTCAAGTACATGCTTTTTTTTTGTATGTGCATGTTTCATTGTACCTGTAAATCTTCTCAAGGCGCAACACAAATTATTTCAAAACCGCAGTTGGAAAACAGCGACAGGGATGAAGGAAGAGGAGGGAGGAGACAAAGGGAGAGAGAGAGAAAGCAATGGTGCAGAATAACAATAGGGGTGAAAGGCACCGAGTGAAACGTGAGAAACAACAAACATGAGAGAATAAAAAATCTGGCTTTCTTCTACTGAAAGACAATAATATCTATCATACTGAACCTAGAACGGTAATGATGTAATCACTAATAGAAAATGAATATCAAAAGGTAGAGTGACAAGGAGAGTCAAGGATAAAGAAAGAAAGAGCATCAGACAAGAGACAAAAGAAAACAGAGCATCAGGTCAAGGCTGCTGCAGCCCAAAATGACAACGTGCCCCTCGGCAGTGTTGAGGCCTGTAATTGTGAATTCTTTGATCAGAATAAACTGACCTACAGGGAGTTTCATGCTCACCCACTCACTTAAGTCAGGGATGTTTGGTCTGTTTCATCTTTGGCCATGGGTGATCTGTCAATGCAGGCCATGGAAAATAATGTGACTTGTCTGTAGCTGCGCTCTGTTTATTGAGAATCAGAATTTATCATTTGAATTCTGACTCTGATTCAAATGCGATATACTTACATAGCGGGGCACACTTCACCTTTTGAAACTGTAGAGAGAGCAATCAAAAAAAAAAAAAAAAAAGAAAGGACATGTGACCAGACAAATGGACAAATGAGCGCCGAGAAAAGGCAGACGAGTAATAAAATGTGACCGTGGCGCAGGAATACGCAAAAGAAAAATAATTGTTTTGTTGACATGAGTAAACATTTTGAATGCCAGTAAAACATTTAGTGATATTGTACTCTATGTTTTTTTTTAACATTATTTTCTCCTGCAATACAATAATCACTCAAAACAAATGCAAATTGCCTTAAAGTAGTTAAACTCAGGCAAGAACTAGGGTCTTGGTTTAAATACTGAAGAAAAGGCAACACTGCCTTCAAGCAAAATACACAATGTGGCTTTATTCATATTTAATGAATTCTGCAATCCTTTTTTGATTTTATAAAAGCTGCTTTTGTTACCAAAACAGCTGTATCCACATGGTAACTTTCTCCACCACTGCACTTCCTGTTTCCATGCATGGGCTATAAGAATGAATCACTGGGAAGAAAAACAATGACAACACAAACAAGCAAAAAAATCAGAAAACATATCTGATAAAAAATATATGTATGTGGGGTATAAATTAAATTTCTAGGCGGCAGAATTAATATAAACAGCTCAAGTTTTGGTATAGAAGAAGATGGCTGCTGACTTTACCATTCAAATAACAGAAAAGTCACTTTGCATGCTAGTGTGTGCTTCAGGTAACAACTTTTGTACGTCAGTGGGGCAACTGCTTCTGCAAACACTGCACACATCATATTTGGACACGATCAGAAGTCAGATATCAAATGATCAGATGCAAGATTCCCAGATTGTAAATGATTCAATACACCTCTTAAACCAACAAATTATTAAAATCATGTTGAAAATGTGGCATTATTAGCACCCTATAAAGTAAGTTAATCTCCCATTATTTATTTATTTTTGTTTAAGTGAGAAATTCAGTCGGAAACATCAATTACAAAACTATCAAATAACTGCAACACTGGCTCCAGAGATACTCTTTAAAAACAATATTGTTTTATTTTGTAATTTATTGGTATTGTTATATACATGGCATAATTTGTGCTTTTTTATTATCAAGAATAAAACCATAAGGGAACACATCAGAAAATTAAACTTTAAACCAGGATTGAATTGTTCTTTTTTTTTTTTTTTTTTTCCAGCTGGATATACTGAGAGTTCTTTAAAAAAAAAAAAAAAAAAAAAACAGGAGAGAAGGGGAGGAAAAAGACAGAAAACTAAATAGATAGATAGGTAGATTGATAAATAGATAGTTCAGAGACACTTGCAAGATGGTCCACTGAGGGTAGTGTGAATGTTCAGACTGTGATGTGCTTTTACCAACAGTAGCAAAGGCACCTGTGTATCGCTTTGTTTTAAAAAAGAAAGTACGCCTCAGGGCCTTATTCCGGTTGAGTCCATACACGTACAGCCAAATCCATCCATAATTTCTTCCAGGGGGATTTCTACTGCACAAATTTGCTGATTTCCTATGATTTCCAGCCACTGCAGAAAGTTGGGCGATAAGTTAGCTTGGGGCCATTCACACTGATTCCCCCCTTTGGAGACTGATTGAATATACAAAAGAAAATAACCCCCCCCTAAAAAAAAATAAGATTTTGGAGCTGTTCTTGCTTAGATTTGCAGGAATTTTTGAACAGGGGTGTGAGACTGGAGGGGCGTTTCTTTTTCCTGATATTTCAGCTTGAGATGGCCAAAGAAGAATGAAAAACGAGGAGATCAAGCTATGTCATTTGGTGAGCGGTAGGTAAGAGGATGGGATAAGAAGGCAAGGTGATGCTTGATAGAGAAAATAGACAGTGGTGAAGGGGTGGGGAAGTGTAATGAGAGGTAAAAAAAAATGCTGCAGTTAGAGAAGCAACAAAAAGGAGAGCGAGCATAAAAAGAAGAAATGTCTCTCGATGGCAATGACTGAGGAGGAAGACCAGGGGCTTGGCAAAAGGAGTAGAGAGGCCATGCAAAGAAAAAAAAAAAGATGGGAAAAAAGTCTGACAGACAAGGAACACAGGATGAAGATGTATAATACTCCATAACAAGACTAAAATTGGTCTGGCCGTCAGCCGACTGCTGCCTGACTGGAAGTTTGGCCCCATACCACAGAATAGCCTGTCTGCTATAGCACCCACCTGAGCCTTAATTAACCCAAGACTTATAACTCACTTTCCTCTTCCTTTTCATATTCCATTTCCATTTTATGTAGCTAACAAAAAAAAAAGAAAAAGAAAAGAAAAAGCACCACATTCCCAGGTAGAATAACTCTTTAGAGACAGAAACTAAAAGATGTAGGATCAGAGTGTAAGAGGGAGTAATTCTGCATCTGGTACAGCTGAGATGGTTGTATTTTTTTTTTCCTTTTTCTTTTTTCTTTTTTTTTT